GAGCCCCCTCCATCAGCCCCGCAGCCCAAGGCTCCCCCGAACCCTTCCATCAGCCCCGCAGCTCCGCTTACCGTCCTCCGGCTCCGGGAGGGCGCTGGGCTCCAGCACGTACCGCAGCTTGGTGTAGTTCACGTAGCCGGGCTCGGCCGTCTGGCTCTCCAGCTCCGGGCCGGCAAGGGGAGAATCCTTCGGGGGCTGTTCCCCTTCTGGAGTTCGGTCTCCCCTGGGCGAGGAGAGGCCGTGGTGCAGGCGGCAGTCACTCCCGGAGGGCCCCAAGCACGGCCTGGCCTCCCACGCTGCCCCAGCCGGGACGCCCTGGGACAAGGACCCGTGCGGGCCGGTGTCCTTGGTGGGACAGCACTCTGACTGGCTGTCAGCTGCCTCCTCCTCGGGGGCTGGGCCTTTCGCCTCCTGGGCCCGGCGGAAGATGTCGGCCACAAACTCTTTGGCCTTGGCCACAGCTGGCGACAGCTCCGGGGGTTTGATGGGGCCTTGTGGGCCCAGGGCAGCTCTGCTGCCAGCCACTGGCGCAGCCCCGCTCCGGCAAGGGGAGCTGCCTCCTTCCATCCGCTCCTCCGCGCCCGGCATGGCACCTGCAGCACCACACGCCCCCGCCCGGGGGGGCGGCGCCTGGGTCCTTCGCTCGTAGAGGATCTGACAGAAGCTGCTGTCCTCTAAAGCGGAGAGGGGGAGGAAGGGGTTAAAGAGGCCACGGCCACACAGGGGGAGCAGCCCCGCGTCCCCGATACCTGGGCAATGGGCGCAGCTCACAAACCGTTGCCCAGACCCTCCCTGTGCCCCGGGGGCGAGCGGCACGCGCCCTCCTGTCCAAGGTGGCAGCTAGGCAGACCCCGAGGGTGAGGAGGACCGCCCGGCTCCCGTAGGGCAGGTCCCACGGCGCTTCCCGGGCGTTACGTGCTCCCGATCGCTCCTCGGGAGCTGGGCAGAGCCAGCACCCCCATCAGAGGGGGAGCCACGGCAGAAGGCTACTGGAGCCTGAAGTCGCTTCTCCCAAACCCTAGGCTAGCGCACTAACCATTGGACCATCCTTCCTCTCCCCAGCACTGGGATTCTGGACTCACTCCCCCTTGGCTTTGAGGCCAACGAGGAGGCCAAGCGGTAATTTGCACAGCGGCAGCCCCCTCCCCGAGGTCGGCGCTTTGGGATCTGCGGGGGCTTTGCAGACATTGAGGAATGGAGGTGACAGGCCAGGTCACGCAGGGAGCCAGCAGCAAAGCCAGGAACCCCAGCACCCGGCGTCTGCTCTGGCCTCCAGCACCCGCAGGAACCGCAACACCCCTGGAGTAAAACCCAACTGACCCGCTAGCTCCCCCGGCTCCGTGTGGCCCCCACCGCGTCTGGGTTTCTCCCACGTCCGCTGCAGGCTTCTCTCCCCGGGAGATCAGCCAGCGTCAGTCCCATCTGCTTTCGGGGGCCACCAAGCAGGGCCCGGGGCCTGAGTACACACTAACGCTGGGCCTGGCTTTTCTACGCAGAAACCCGGCTGGGGCGCAGGGAGGGTTTGCACCCTCCCAGAGGGAGGCTGAGAGCCCCGATTCCCGACAGGTGCCTTGCCTGAGCGGCTCTTAAAACCTCCAGTGACGTCAGCACGGCCTTCCATGCTGCCCGAGGCATGGCACCCCACCATGGACCAAACCGACAGGGCCCCAGGAACTGCCGCAGCCGGGGGCCCCCCAAAACAGCCTGCTGCAGCAGCTTCTGGCCTTGGATCTCAAAGCACTTTGCAATCCCGGATTAACCCCGGCAGCCCCTGGCCGGTCTCCCAGCTCGACACAAACCACCAGGATCAAAAGTGAGTCTCACACACAGCATCTGCTGAAACCCGGCTGTTTAACTCAGTCCCTTTTTTCAAAAAACGCACCGAGGGTTAACTTGAACGCGGCCGCAGCCGCCAGGGGACGACCTAACCTCACCACAACCCACTCCAACGTAACTACATTAAAATATGCGGCAACAACGAGCTCTGTAATGTTAACGAGCGACCGTGCAGCCGTGGTTTGCAGACCTCTAAGAGACTTCGTCCATCTTCCCAGGTCGGCTCAGGCTTTCTAACCAGGCCAGCGACCTGTTCGGCGGGAGGCCCGTGTGTGCGGTCTCTACTGTGGGGCCAATGCTAGTATGGACGTAGCTCTCCGGCACGTGCGCTTTACAACCGAGGTCAGGTCATTCTCCCCATTTTACAGACGGGGAAACAGACACAGGGAGGGGAAGCGACTTGCCCAGGCTCAGCTAGCAAGTCCCAGTCTGATGCTCTATCCACTAGACCACACTCTCTTCTGTAGTAAACTGAGGGGGCCTCCCCCTCACTCCACCCCCAGCCTCTGCTGGTTTTCTTGCATTGCAAGCTCCTTGGGCAAGGAGAACAGGTTGTACAGCACCTAGCGTAACAGGCCCCTGGGCCCAAAGACCACCCCCCCCTTGCCAAGGCCTAGGCAGCTGCTTTGTTCCAGGTGAGCGAGCAGCTGCCAAGTGGGGAAGGCGGGTCCCACGTGGTAGCTGGGGCTCCGAAGAATGCCCTGTAGCTCTCTTATGGCCAGGCCCCGTGGCTTGCAGGACACCAGCCCTGCCCGGAGCCCCTGACAGTCTAAGCTGCGGGAGAGCCAATATCCCGGCCAGGAGGGACCGAGCGAGTGCCCAGGCGCGGTAACGCTCTGCCGGCCCTGGCGCGGCGCCCACCTGTGGTGCGCACGGAGACCGCGCACGCTACGAGGGAGTAGCTGGTGTTGAGCAGCACCACCTGGTCCTTCTTGAGCTGGAAGGCTGGCTGGAATGTGGGGAACGGGTAGACCACCTGGTACTTGGTGTGCAGCATGAAGCCGTGCTGCAGGCAGTGGGCGTGCGGGTCCCCTGAGGAGGCACAAGCAGAGGGACCGGTGAGCCCGTCCCCGCCCACAAGAGGAGAACAGCGGGGGGGTCAGACAGTCCCAGAGACACCCGCGGCGAGCCTGCTAGGACTAACTGAACAAACCCCACTGGTATCCTTGGTGCTGGCTGGAGGGGGAAACTGAGGCACGGAGCATGACAACTTGCCAAAAGCCAAGCAGCAAGAGGAGCCCGGAGTCCCAACTGCCCCCCAAGCCACCGGTTCTCAAACAAGCAACCCGAGGCCCCCCCCGTTTTGATTCGACTTTCAGGGACCCCCTGCCCTGTCCCTTCACCGAGGCCCCACCCCCACTCACTCCATCTCCTCCCCTTCCATGGCTAGCTCTTCACCCCCCAACGCCCTTTCACCGGGCTGGGGCGGGGGGCTGGGTGCCGGGTGCCATGAGGGATCCGACATGGGGCCATGGATGAGATGTTTGGGGAGCAAGGGGGGCTCTGGGTTGGAGCAGAAGGTTGGGGGGGGATGCAGGACAGGACTCTGAGCTGGGACGGGATGGGGGGGGGGATGTGCATGGTGGGGGGAGGTTAAGGTGCAGTATCCCGACAGCGCTTACCACAGATCCCAGGAAGCGGCTGCCAATCCCTGTGGCCCCTAAGTGCATGGGGGGCCAGGGAGGCTCCACACGCTGCCCCTCCCCCCACTGCTATAGAGCTAGCACTGGGGCACTGGCTGTGTGTGGAGTCTCCCTGGCCCCATGCACCTAGGGGCCACGGGGACTTGGAGTTTTCCAGGGTGGGCAGGGAGCTGCCTTGGCTCTGGGAGGAAGGGCAGAGGGAGGAGCTGATAAGCAGTGCCCAGGGACCCCTGGAGTTTCCCTCCTGAATCCCGGGACCTGCAGACCCCAGTTTGAGAAACACGGCCCTAAACCAATCCGATCTCATTCCTTCCCGCCCCCAAGCGTATCTCCCCGCCTCCGCCCAGTGGCACAGCCTGCGCTGGTCCAGCAGGAAAACGCCCACCAGCGGTCCCCGTGCGCGCGGCTCCAGTGGCGAGGGACCGTCTGCCCGGCTCACCTGGATGTGCTAGGGCCATATCCCTGCAGCCGGGGCAGTACATGAGCGGGGGCATGGCCACCGTGCTGATGTAAATATCCCGATGGTTTTCATCGCTCATCATCATCATGTTCATCAGCAGCCCGTTTGCCGAGCGCGTGCTGCCGGGAGAGAGGAGACACAGCGGGTCCCGGTCAGAGGTCAGGCATTCAAACCCTGTCTCACCCACATCTTCTGCCCCTGGACTGGCACAGCTTTCACACCAGGCTCCTCAGCCAGCTGCCATGCGGGAGCGGGGGCGAGGCGGCTCTGCGAAGGGCCCAAGCAAAACTGGCATCGCAACTATGGTCCACTTACTTTTCTTTGACAAGAGCCTCGGGGCTAAGGGCAGGACTGAACCGTGCTCAGAGCTCCAAGAGCGGGTTTCACAGGCGGTGACGTTACAGTCGAACTCCCAGCCACCGCTGGGGTGACGGAAACTTCCCCGTGTGCTTTGGCTGTAAGCTCTCGGGGGCAAGGGCAGGCTTTGGGTTCAGCCTGCGCAGCGCACGACACAAGAGGCTCCTGCCCTAGCTATCGCACCACACACAAACACAACGCGGAGGGAAGAGACACACATCGCTGCCAGTTCAACGGCACACAAAGCCACGTACAGTCACTGAAAACAGGCGGAAAACAAAGGAGGCTCGTCCTCAAAAAGCAAACAAAACAGCAAGGGAAGTGAAATCATTTTGCACGGCCGGGGAGGGGCGTATGCCAGCCCACGCGCACCAGTTAACCGTGTAGATGTTTACACTTTCACCAACCACAGCACACGCACCCCATCTCTCTCTCTCTCACTTGCCAAGTCAGGAAATCTGGCTCTTCCAACCTCAGGCGGGGAGAAAGTAACCAAGCCCTGGCTCTCCCCTTCCTACCCCAAACCCCCGCTCCTGACAGCCATAAGCAGTCTATCTTCTAGGGCGGAGGCCCGAGCAGGGAGAGGCTGAAGGGAAGACTTGGCTTGCGCCGGCCAGGCGAGGGTGAGGAACGCAATTTCGAAGGCCAGTCCCACACGTGTGTGTTAAGCGACGTAGCTGTGTCTGTTTGAGAGGGGCAGGACTGCTTCGCACACAAACCCCTCGGGGACGCGGCTGGCAGCGGCAATGAAAGATTTGCTGTGGGTCTCAATGGCCTGTAACCCGTTCCGGGGTGGGGTGGGGGCAGTTGGGGGGACAGCACGGAGATCAAAATCTACCCAAATCTCTCCTCCTCCCTCCACCCTGCCAGACAAAACTGATTTCTGTTTGAGAGGGGCAGGACTGCTTCGCACACAAACCCCTCGGGGACGCGGCTGGCAGCGGCAATGAAAGATTTGCTGTGGGTCTCAATGGCCTGTAACCCGTTCCGGGGTGGGGTGGGGGCAGTTGGGGGGACAGCACGGAGATCAAAATCTACCCAAATCTCTCCTCCTCCCTCCACCCTGCCAGACAAAACTGATTTGATGGAACTCACTTGAAGCCAAAGACAATGACCTTGGAGGAGTCGCTGGGCCACTCACACACAGTCAGGTAAAGGTCACTGTAGATTTCTTCATCTTGATGCCAGACAAGACTCATTTGATGGAACTCACTTGAAGCCAAAGACAATGACCTTGGAGGAGTCGCTGGGCCACTCACACACAGTCAGGTAAAGGTCACTGTAGATTTCTTCATCTTGAAACAAGCGAACCTGTCGTACCTATGGGAAGAACAGCGGGAACTGGACTGAAGCCCGATGGAAGAAAACAGAGAACCAAGGGAGTGGGATCTGGAATCAGAACCCCACCGGGAAAACACCTGCAAGGCCAAAGTTACTTGGGAAGGTCTTGGAAGAGGCTTGGCTGGGATCAGGCGTTCACTGAAGATGTTCGGTTGGGCACAGACAGGACTGAAATGTAAAATTACCTGATTCCCCCTTCTCTCAGGAGGGCCCCAAAATGCTTTAGACACAAACCAACTGCACACAAGAAATCACTGCGTACAGCTGCCTCTGGGGTGGAGCACCACATAGTTTGACAGCGCACAGCACCAGCATTTAGCACAGGAAGAACTGAAACCACGGGGAAAATGCGACAGTTTCATTAGGGATCTGGGGAGGACAGCTTCTTAACGCGAGCAAAGTGCACCCGAAGGATTCTCCAATGGCCCAGCTGGGATTTCCTTCTGCCTCCCTTAAAGCGCAGACCACACCAAACCCTGGTCAGCACTAGATCCCTCTGGATCTAGGGATGTAAAATAACATGCAAAAAGTTAGTGGCTAAGCATTAGCTTTAACTGGTTAATGGAAGTCCTGCAGGCGGGTACTGCTTGGGCTGTGTCCAGCCCACCACACCACACCCTGGGCGGAGGACTGCTCCAGCCGGACTAGGCCGCTGGTTAGCCATTTACCCCAGAAGTGTGCCGGTAAAGTTAACCCTTCGCAGCCCAAAGGGAGAATATCTGCAGGAAGTGGGTCTTCATTATGCTCAGTTCCTTCCGGAGCAGGGATGTTAAATGTCGGTTTATTGAATAGTCTCCAGGGGCGGCCGGCAGCCAGTGCACTCCGGCCCCAATCCCGAGGAGCCCCCTTGTCACTCCACACTGCTGCCTCTGGATCAGAGGCTGCAGCCTAGGGTGCCAGGCAGGAGCTGGTCTGTGAGGGGAGCCAGTTTAAAAACCAGCTCGCCTCATCCACTGGCTGCCTGTCACCCCATGCTGCCTGCCTGGCTCCTAACACGTTTTAAATAGAGAATCGCAGTGGGAGTAGGTCCCGGAACCGTCACGAGCCAGGCTGCTAGCCAGCCTGCTAAAAAATGCACAGGCAAGGGGGAGGAGGGATGCAAAAGCTTATCGGTTAATTGACTACACCAGGGCTGCTCAACTTTGGAAGCCTCAGGGGCCTCAATGATACTCACAGCACATGCTGAGGATCGCAACTTAAGTGCGGTTGCATAGACATGCAAATATTTATACAAATATATGCAAGGCTCTGCACATGTGCAGATCACTCCGGGCCGGCTCTTCCGGGGCCACGGGCGAGTAGATTACACTATTTGTCAAGCCCTGACTATATGCAAATAGCTTCTTTCACACTGACAGGCATGAATGCAGAGATTAAGGCAAGACCACACAACACACTGGCCCCATTTAAGCCAGTTTTGCTGATACTCATAAAATGCGACATTTACCCAATTTCCACCCACGTGACATCACTTTTAATGAGCAACGACAGTCCAGGAATGTAACTACTAAAACGCATCTCAACCGAAGACCGTTCTACTGACTTGCCATTATGGAGCGAGCTCCCAGTGGAGGCCACGTTCAAAGGATCCACCCATGGGCAGCACGTTAAGCCCCACGTAAACCCAAACCGCACCGCAGGTCGCACGCAGTCCACGGGCCGCGAGTTGAGTAGCCCCGGACTACACCCCTATTCTGGAGTCTTCCCTCCCCCCATAGCAGAGGGGGACGTGTACACACCAGCTTCAGCTTGCTGTGGACGTTGAATTCCCACCAGTAGAGGTGGTAGATGTAGAAGGAGAAGTCGTCATCGCCGCTGTTGCTGGTATATGACAAGACGTACCGCCCGCACTTGGAGAAACCAAGGAAGATGTGTCTGGAAGGGAAGCACAGGACAGAGCACTCACAGCATTCACATCCCCACCTCGCCAAGCTTGCTGGGCCTGGCAGCTCCCCCGGCTTTTGTTTCACAGCCCCCTCCTCACTCCCCCCCCAAAACCGGAAGTCAGGTTGGCGCCCTCGGACAGGAGGGAATGCACTTCACAGACCATGCCACTGCTTACCCTGCACACAAGAAATCCTCGTCAACAATATTCTTCAGGGAGACGCACACCCGGGGGGGCAGCTTGCGGAAAAGGCGGGGAGAAAGCTGCCCGCTGATCTGGAAAGAGGGTGTGTGTCAGAGGCTCTGCGGTACGTCCAACAAGAGGCAGGCTCAGGACATCCATGGATGTGGGGGTACCCCAAACGCCCTGACTTGTGGCCTGGGGAGGCCTTCCGCTTGTAACCCAGGGTGCAGAAGGAGCTGAGCTAGACAAGGGCTACTTGGGGCTCAGGGGTTTATTTTCGAGAACGGTGACCGCACTAGGCGCAGTCCTTGCGCTCTCTGTCGCAGCCCCCAGGGCTGGGCCTTTTGGGGCAGGGGCTGAAAGGAGCAACCTGGCTGCAGGCTGAGGGCAGCAGACACAAAACTAGGCGCCAGGACTCCCCCCGTTCTACCCCCAGCTCTCATAGAATCACAGAGCTGGAAGAGACCCCAAGAGGTCATCAAGTCCTGCCCCCTGCCCAAGGCAGGACCAATCCCAACCCCCCAACCCTCACCCCCGTGTCAAGCCGAGACAAACACCTCTATGGATAGAGATTCCACCACCCCCCCAG